GCTGAGCCGGGGCGGGGGGGGGGGACTGGAAGCAGCAGCAAGCAGGAAGCAGCTTCAATCCAACCACTGCCTGCCTTCTCTCTCTCTCCAGGATAGTCCCACCGTGGTGGTTGAAGACCTGCGGCTGTGCACGGTCAAGCCCTGCGAGGACATCGAGAGGCGCTTCTGTTTTGAAGTGGTCTCCCCAACCAAGTAAGGAGAAGTCCTTTGGGAGCGCCTGGATGGGAACAAAAGGGCAAGAAATGCTGCCGGGAGAGTGCCCCCCCCCCCCGGGAGGGGGCCTTTGGGAAAGTGGGTTGCTAGACTTGGACCTGGGTTCAAATCCCTGCAGAGTCAGGAAACTCAAGAGGGTCCGCCTGGCCTCCCTTACAGTGAAGCTCTGAGAACAAAATGTATTTATTGTTTTATCTTGATTTGCCTTGCTTATAAGTCTGCCTCTGTCACGGAGACTCAAGGCAAGAACCATCCTGTTTCTAATATTAGGGCAAGATATTTTAATGTTAGCAGTGGCAGTCGTATTTCCCGTGGACATTAAGTGCCACCTTAGTCTAAGTGAGAGGGACACGATCCATGAGCGCTTGGGGGAAGGGGAGGGGCCAGCCCCCCCCCCCCCGTTTCCCCGTGTCTTGTCCCAAATGTCAGCTCCCTCCCCAGTTCCCTTCCTCTTCCTTGGACCTGGTCAGCATTTGTGGTGCCGGTGGCCGCTGGGTGCTGAGAAGAAACCCTTGACGCGCGTGTTCCTCTTCCGCGGGGAATCGGGTGGTTCAGACGTCTCGGAGGCACCCTCTGTGCCTAGAAGGAGAGGGAACTCTGCCGGCACCCCCCTGACCCTTGTTGCTTTCAGTTATGCGGGTGGAGCTGCAGACCTGGTGTGTGTGTGTGTGTGTGTTTGGAGCTTTCAGTTATGCGGGTGGAGCTGCAGACCTGGTGTGTGTGTGTGTGTGTGTTTGTGTGTTTGGGGGGGGGGTTGACTTGGGGGAGGCGGGGCTTGACTTGCCTGGAGGTGGGAGTGTGTCATCTTTGGGAGGGAGGGAGGGAGGGAGGGGTTGTGTGGTCTCTTGAAACAAACCTCGGTGGTTGCCACTTTCCGTTTCTCCTCTGTCGCCAGCCTTTCCCCTGGAGTGTGCTGGTCCTCCTCGCTCTGCATGTGTGGCGGGCGGGCGGGCAGGGATAGATAGATGCTGCTGGGAAAGCCAGCCAGCCAGCCAGCCAGCAGGTGCCAGCAGCCGCTGCTCTCTCTTGCAGAAGCTGCATCCTGCAGGCCGATTCGGAGAAGCTGCGGCAGGCATGGATTCAGGCCGTGCAAGCCAGCATCGCCACTGCCTACCGGGAGAAGGGGGATGAGTCCGAGGCAAGTGGAGCCCACTCTGCCGTGGCTGCGTGGGGGCGTGGGGGCGTGGGACCAGGAGGGTCTTTTTGCCCCAGGACGGGGGGGGGGGCACACACCCCGTGGGGCAAGCTGCAGGGAAAGGAGAAGAGCGGGGGGGAGGGGGCCGCCCGCCACAGACTCCTTTTCGTGCCTCTCCCCCCCAGGTGGAGCGGAAGCCGGCCCCCTCATCGGCAGGGAGCCCTGACTTTGGTGGCGAGTGCAGGGAGAAGGCGCTGAAAGGCGAGAGCTCCTTCCAGAGGGTCCAGGGCATTGCCGGCAATGCGGTGTGCTGTGACTGCGGCCTGGCAGACCCGCGGTGGGCCAGCATCAACCTGGGCATCACCCTGTGCATCGAGTGCTCGGGCATTCATAGGTGGGGGCAGAGGCACTGGGGTGGGGTGGGGTGGGGTGGGGTGGGGAGTGGCGGCTCTTCCCCCGTTCCCTGCTGAGCCCCCCCACCCCCCGCCCCCCCCCGGGGTG